AAAAAGGCAAATAAGGAACGCTTCCGAACTCAAATTTCCCCGAAAAATGCATGAAGTCGCCCTCGGCATGAAGTTGCCCTCGGTTGGGTATCTCTCAGTAAATAAGCAAGAGTATCCTTAGAACCTGAGTTTCCCTCACCCAATTTTACTCCTCTTACATAGGCGAATTCAGAATGAGTAGAGGGAGGGCGGAGGGGAGGGGATGTGAGGGAAAGGTCTGCTGCGAAAGCCCGGGTCTGTTCATAAATAAAATCAAATTAACACTAAGCAGCAGTGTTACAGCACTATTTCTAGTTTTTGCATAGTTCCGGGTGGAAGGGGTGGCGATGACTGCTTTAGAAGTAATTTGCAAAAGCTTCAGATTATTGGAGGAAATTTTCACCGCCCCACTTTTCCCCCTCCCTTCCCTCTTCTCATCCTCGTCGCCCTTCCTATCTTCCCAGGAGTCCGTCCTGGATCCGCTTATGTCCCTATAAGGATGCTGCGCAACTAGTGTATATAAAATAGATCTTTTTAACACTAAGATCTCTACGGTGACAGTCCATACCTTTTAGATTAATAAATTAAACTGAACTAATCCTGAAGCATACTTTTGTTAGATCCTAATGTGCAGCAGTAATGTGCACCATTGTGTGTTTTTTGGCATGAATATCCAGCTGGGCAAGTGTTCCGATCAGGAATACAGCTCTCCGGATCGCCATTTATCCCAACAAATGCAACCTGGAAGCGGCAGTGGAACTTAGTGCCTTTTCTCAATAAATCTAACAAAAAATTTTTGTCTAATTCTTTTTTACTTTTCCTACTTTCTAAAATCAATGCTTTCGGAAGCCAGTAGTGAAAAGAGTCCACTCAGCAATACTTATTGTTCTGTAAACATGACTTAAAAACAGGTTGCTAACTGAGTTTGGCTTCCTGACATATGCAAGTACCAAAATTTACCATCGAAACGAATGAACGAATTGTAAAGAGATTGGTTATCCTACCGCCAGGGTGAGTCTACAATCTTAGATGTATAAAGTGACGATGCGATAAAAATGACAATAATGTAAAAAATAATATTAAAAATTACAATTTTTACTAACAAATAACAAAAATAACACAAAAAATAGCAAAAATATGACAATGACAAAAACATAACAATAACAATTACAAAACAAAAATAACGTCGAAAATAATTTTTAAAAATACGAAATAATTTTTAATAATGAAAATAATAATTTGCCAATTTAACAGACCAATAATGAGAAAAAATTCTTAAAATTAACAAAATGTAAATGAAATTACACCTTAAATGACAGTTTCTGGTAATGAGAATACAAATTTACCTGGTCGTTCGGGCAGCCGCTGTTAATGCCACAACACTGGAACTGATTATTAGTCGTAGAAAATTGACAGAAATATCCAACTGAGCAATTCTGAGAAGTAGCCGTACAAACTTGCGGTAAATTCGTTGTTGGATCACGATATGCTACCTGATTATAGGGGCAGCCAAGCTGTGCCACTGAAAATAACGCTAAAAATTTTTGTAATATTTCCTCGCCTTCCACGGGGAACCGACCTGGACTGACAATTATCTCACAATGTCTTGAACAACGTGAAAACAAGACAAGGGTTAAATTCTGGATGGAATTGGTAATTTGTACGTAGAGATATGAACTAAACGGGAGAATAAAGATTGAATGGAGGGGAGAGGGAAGGGAGGGGGGAAGGGGAAGGAAGAATCGATGGGTGAACTGAAAATGGGGAGCTAAGATGTTTCCATCTGCTATGTTAGGAAAAATTAAACTTGAACCCAGCGTTGCAACTGGACTTCGTCAGTAGTGTAATGAGAGAAGTTAAAAAGACATTGCACGTTCGTGGGTTGAATTCAATTAACATCAAATTAGGAAGACAACTCATCTTCGTCTAACAATAACGCCCAAGACAAAGTGGTAATGCTCAACACAAACATCCAAGGATATCTCGAAACAACTAAAGCCTTGCCAAGTGTTTCTATCTGGGAAATCGCTGAGACGGCGATCCCTTCAGATGGCAAAATAAACATCAGGATCACCGGCATCAAGCTGAGCACTGGGTGAGGCAGCACTAGTCAACGAAACTGTAAAAGCTGCCAGCTGAATAGATGGAAAAACATACTATAGAATGACATTTGATCCAGGCATTTAGGATGAGTGATTAAACAACATCCTGGTAACGAACATTCAGTAATCAGATTAAAGTCAGGTTTTTTAGACATGTTTTGGAAAAGATACTTTTGGAAATTGCTCCTCAGTTAGCTAGCGCAAGGGTTCTGCCCCATCACAGACGGATCGAGGGTGATCACCTGGAGAAAAGGGGAAGAGGACGACGAAGGGTGCGGAAGAGAGTTTCCCTCAATTTGAGCATTAGACCCAAATTTTTGTTGCACTAGTACCTGTGCCGTTGAGCGGCCCTTCACCCCTTCCCGTGGATCGCCTGTGGTGTCCATATTTCTTTTTTGCTGTTTTACAAGATCCAGAATTGACTAACACTTAGTAATTTTGGAAGAAGCCATCGGTGCGGAACCGCAACACTGATAACGTTGTGTGGACGATGACCACTGGCATGAATATCCAGCAGGACATGCGTTACTGAACGGATCACAGGATACGATTTGATTATCTTTGACAAGAGCATATTCATTTGGTGGACAACCATCTGCAAATATTACATCTTCCTGAATATCTATTTTCTCATTTACTGAATGATTTTTTACTGCAGGCTAACTGTAGCATCCAGGTTGACATTAGACTGTGAAAGCGCATTGAATACACAGGGACAGAATGAGGAAAGGAGGCAAGAATGAGGTAAGACGTTTCGGTCCATTAAGTCATACACGTCTTAAATCAGTAGTGCGACAAGATCTGGTAAGTATGACAGTCGCAGTGTTTAATGGAAAAGG